TGAGACAGCCTCACTATGTAGTTCAGGCTGGACTTAAACTCCTGAGTTCCCGAGTGCTGGGATTACAGACATGCACCACCACCACTTTCAGTCTTTTTTTTTTTTTTTTCTTTTTTTTGTCTCTAAATTACCCAGGCTGGGCTATACTTTTGGTACTCTTACCTCAGCCTCCCACAATGCTGGGATTACAAATATGCCTTTTCACTCTTTTTATGATTCTTCCCAGTCATCAAGGCAACTGGCAACTCTCATGGCCCTGGGTATCATTTAGCATGCCGATGGGATTATTTACAAAGTTACAGGTTAAATCTTGGATCCATCCAGGTTCAGCTAGCTGATCTGAAGAGAAACCTCCAGCCTACAAGCATTCTGTCCTCAAAGATAAATGGGGCTGGGGGTTTAGCTCAGCGGCATGAGCACCTGCCTTGAAAGCAGGCAGTCATGAGTTCAATCCCCAGTACCGATAAAAAGGAAAAAGTAAAAAAAAAAAAGATAAATGAAAATTACGGGTGTGGCACAAACCTGTAGTTATAGGAAGCTCAGGAAGAGGCTTTGCCAAGATGGCTGAGGCCTTGGAGCTGAACTTACCTTCTTCAGCTCAGGCCCTGGGTCTCCCTATCACTCTTCACTTTGAGCTACTTTTCCAAACCTTTTTTTTTTTTTTTCATTTTGAGGCAGGGTCTTGCTAAGCTGCCTAGACTGGGCTTGAATTTGTGATCCTCCTGCTTCAGCCTCCCTCAGTGCTGAGAATACAAGTATGTAGAACTGTACCCAGCAGTTCTGAATTTTACACACACACACACACACACACACACACACACACACACACGCACACGCACACAAACACACACGCGCATGCACACAGAGTTCTGTCCTTTATGCCTGGCAACTTTTTACCTGGGACTGGAAGGAGGATGTAACTCCAGTCAGGCGTTCAGTAGGTTTCCAGACCTGGTATTATCAGGGATACCAGTCAAAAGAGCCAGGGAAGGACAGTAGTGTGACACCTGTTGTCTTTCCTGTTAAATTAGAGAGCACCATCTCTAGGTTTCAGGCCTTCCTCAGGCTTACTGAGGCAACTCAAACTCAGTCCTGTGCTCGGGTATCCCTAGGCCTGCAGGAGCTGTGTCTCTGTTAGATGACATGGACACTGAAGTGTGGCACCACTTCAAGAGAAAACCCAGCCTGGCACAGTGATGGTGAATACACCTGGGGTCCCAGGCACTGGGGAGACTGAGGCAGGAGGATCCAAATGTCAAGGTACACAGTACAAGACCTTGTTTCAAAATATAGAAGGACGGGCAAGTGATGGCACACTCTTGTAGTCCTAGTGATATAGGGGAATGAAACTCCCAGCCTACTAGATGTCTGGTACAGGTTTGTGTTCTCTAAAACTGAAGAATGAATTTTAGGAACAACAGAGGTTAAGAGCAGAATATATATACTGAGAGAAAGAAAGCTTCTATCTGAGAGACAGAAAGGATCCCAAGTGGGCTGCCAAAGGCTCTGTCTTTTCTAGAGACATTTTAAAAGAAGACATTTATTTAGTGCCAGAGATCAAACTCATGACCTCACGCTTGCCAGGCAGGCACTTACAAGGCTGAGCTAAATCCCCCTTTCTAGGGATTTTTATAGAGCAAAACCATCAGGTGAGACTAGTCCAAGATGGGGAAAACATGGGAACTTGCAAGGTAGGCAGGCATGAGATGGGACAGAACTATGGTCAACCAATAAGATTAACTGTTCACGTAACATTGATTAAATCGTGGACAAATGGGGTAGCGAGTTACATAGCAAGCTGGCATTTTTTTTTTTTTGTCTTTTTCATTTTTATCAGTACCAGGGATGGAACTCATGACCACGTGCTTGCAAGGCAAGTGCTTATGCCACTGAGCTAAATCCCCAGAAGCTGGCATTCTTTTTTTTTTTTTTTTTTTTTTTGTCCTTTTCCTTTTTATTGATACCAGGAATCGAACTCATGGCTGCCTGCTTGCAAAGCAGGTGCTTATGCCGCTGAGCTAAATCCCCAGCCCCCGAAGCTGACATTCTTAAAGAGTGGTGACTCTTAGGGGTTAGGATGGTGACTCCTGGATTCCTCAAGGTGATCCATACCTATTTAGACTATCAATCCCTGCTGTCTATACTTAGGGTATGGTTGTATTTGTTTTGAGATTTGGCCCACAGCAGAGGTGTCTGTTTCCTCCAAGGTTGCAAGGTGTCTGGTCTTCTATACTGGCTCCTTCAAGGGCCCAACCCTGTCTGACTGCCTATAATTTTTTTTTTTTTTGTATTTTTACAGGTACCAGGGATCGAACTTGCGACCACAGGCTTGCAAGGCAGGCGCTTATGCCACTGAGCTAAATCCCCAGCTCCTGCCTATAATATTTCTAACTAACTCAGCTGCCTATAACACCAGCACTGAGGGACAGAGTCCCTGAGGTAGGAGCACCAAGAGTTCCAGGCCAGTTTGGGCTACATAGTGAGACTCTATTCAAAAAAAAAAAGTTTTTCATACACAAATGAAAACAGAGGAACTAGGTGGCACACACCTGTAATCCCAGCACTCAGTGAGCTGAGGCAGGAGGATGGCTGTGTTAGACCAGCCTGGGTTACAAAGTGAGCTCAAGGCCAGCCTGAACTACATAACAAGACGTTCTCAAAAAGATAAAAACAATCAAACAAACAACAACAAAAAAAAACCCCTGCCAATATCTGATATCTATCCTGTCCTGTATTTTTCCATCTTCAATTATACACTTTTGACCCATAGAAAATCTAAAGTTCAGAACTACTGCTAACAGGGAGAACAGGGAAAAACAAATTGTTTTCTTTCATGTCTTTATTAATATATATTGGTTATACAAACAAGGTTTCATTCAGCTGGATTCCTGTGTAACACCCTTTAATCATTTTCACCCTACCATGTCCACCTGTCTTATTTTTCTCCCATTGCTGAGACAAAAGTACCTGACACCCCAACCTCTCCCTTACAAACCAGATGCATTCATGCCTGGAGACACAATCTAGGGCCTACCACAGCTCTCTACCACTGAGCTACAGCACTATTTATTTTTGAGAATGAAATGTTTTCTATTATAGTGGATGCATTTTTTGTTTTCTTTTGTCTTTTTTTCTGAGACAAAGTCTCACCGCGTAGCCTACGCTGGTCTTGAACTCACACTGATAAAAAATAAATTAAAAAACAAACTTATGCAAGGGGTGGTGGTACATGCTTATAACCTCAGGACCCAGGAGGCTGAGACAGGAGAATCGATGCAAGTTTGAGGCTAGCTTAGGCTACATAGTGAGTTCAAGGGCCAGCCTGAACTACATGATGAGACCCTGTCTCAAAAATAAAAAATAGGGCCAGGAATTTAGCTCAGCAGCATAAGCACTTGCCTGCCAAGTGCAAGGTCATGAATTTGATTCCCAGTACCAAATAAAATAAGAACTCACAGTGATCCTCCTGCTTCAGCCTCCTAGTGCTGGATTATAGACATGTACCACCATGCTACACATTTGGCATGGATAGCACAGAGGCTGATGTCTTCAAAAAGGCCAAATCTAAAGGCTTCACTTGCTTCCTGCACGAATAGCTGTACTCTGGAAGTACAGATCTGTTTTGAAATGCTGGACAATTTCTCAGATCAGATGCTAGATGGGGAGTTTGGGAATCAGAAGCTCAGTGGAGTTGGGCAAGATGACACAGGTCTGTAATGTCAATACTCAGGAGGTTGAGACAGGAGGATCACCACCTGGGTTCAAGGCCAGCCTGGGCTACACAGCAAGACACTGTTTTATTTTATTTTATTGGTACCACGGATCTCACTCACTATGCCTGCTTGCAAGACAGGTACTTATGCCGCTGAGCTAAATTCCCAGTCCCAAGACCCTGGTTTGTTTTTTTTTTTTTTTTTTTTTTGGCCTTTTTCCTTTTTACTGGTACCAGGGATCGAACTCACGACTGCCTGCTTGCAAGGCAGGAGCTTATGCCGCTGAGCTAAATCCCCAGCCCCAAGACCCTGTTTTAAAAAAACAAATAATAGGGCTGGAGATTTAGCTCAGCGGCATAAGCACCTGCCTTGCAAGCAGACGGTCATGAGTTCATCCCCAGTACCGATAAAAAAGAAAAAGAAAAAACAAAAAAAACACACAAAAAAACACAACATAGCTCTATTTCTAATTTGATTAGTGCCTTACTTATTTTTTCAGTTTGGACAGATGAAGCCATGGAAGATGAGAGTTTGGTGTGATGGCCCATGCCTGAGTGCAGGAGGACTAAGAATGTTTGAGGCCAGCCTAGGCTATTTAGCAGAGCCCTGTCTCAAAATAAACTTTAAATAAATGCTGGGGGGGGGGGAGGAGATCTAGAGATGTAGCTTAGCACTTCCTGGTTTCAGTCTCCGGTTTCAAAGATGGGGGTTTGTTTGACAAAAGAAAAGACCAACTCAAGACCTGTAGGACTCAAGATTATGAGCATAGTGCTTCTTGTACTGTGGGTCTGAGATCCCAGATCTGTGACCTTGTCAGCCCTGTAGCATGGGTGTGCGGAAGAGCCTGGCCATTTGAGCTACTTCTAGCATCTGAAGTCCATCAGCTCTGACTCTCACCTCCAACTTGTTCCTCCAACTTATCTTTGTGTGAAGGTAACCAAGCCATTTCCCTTCTGGAGCCTGATCTCCATGTTGGCGATGGTTCCTTCCACATAGTGTTTCAGTGAAGGTTCTGGCCAGGGTGATATGGCAGCATCCCTGATATAGTCCCTGTGCCTCATGCTGTGATCAGCAAGCAAGTACAATAGTGACACTTTACATATGTCACCCAAAGCATGGGACGGCTGGTCATCCATCACCCTAGCTCGAAGGACACTGAGTCACCTGTAGGAGCTGTGGGGTCAGTGTAGATGGCAGTTCCTTCACTCAAAAGCCAGCCCAGCCCTGCAGGAGCAGGGAGACACACCCAGTTCTCATGACCAGGCTCTCAGAGTAACAGCCTCATCCATCAATGAGCCTCATCCATCAATGACAGCCTCAGTCCAGCCTAACTTTATGGACCCTGCTGGTACTTAAGTCTCTGGAGGGTGCAGGTGCACCCACCCCTTCCTCAGCACAGGCTGCTGCTCCGATCAGGTAGGCAGGCAAGGGGTGGGGATGAGAGGGCCCTGGGCTTCCGGGGGCCAGAGAATCAGCTTTAGAGCAAAGCCCAAGTCAAAGTGCTGGCACTGGGCTGGCTGGCATTGGGATTCTTGCCCTTGGCAGAAGACTAGGGTCTGTTTACACAGTCCTGTGCTGGAAGAGGGCTTGGGAAAGCTGTGTGCACAAGGGTAGATCTCAGCCCCACTGTGCCCCGCTCCCCATTGTTTTCATGTCTGTACTGCAGGTCTGCCGGGGTAGAGCTGATGACCTTAGTGTCTCACCCTTTTTGTCTCCCCCGCACAGGGTAAAGGCCAGGGGTGTGACCAGAAGTGAAGAGAAAATGCCTGGGAACTGAGTGATGGGAAGACCAGTGAGGAGAGGGATGGTTCTGCAACCTCCCACCCCAGGCCCAGCAACATGACAGTTTCATACACCCTCAAAGTGGCTGAGGCCCGCTTCGGAGGCTTCTCTCGCCTGCTGCTTCGGTGGAGGGGAAGCATCTACAAGCTCCTGTACAAGGAGTTTCTGCTCTTTGTCGCCCTCTACGCCGCGCTCAGCATCACCTACCGGTGAGGCGAGTTTCGGGGCTGGTCCATGGGGCTTGCGCTGTCCATCTCCCTGCAAATGTGGCCTGAAACCGTCCCTCCCCCCAGGCTGCTGCTGAGCCAGGCGCAGAGGCACGTGTACGCTCAGGTGGCCCGGTACTGCAACCGTTCTGCAGACCTCATCCCTCTGTCCTTCGTACTGGGTGAGGCCCCTGCTAGTTCTCCCTGGCATCTGCCCTGACCTTGGGGTTGAGTTCACTGCCAGGCGGCACAGCCCAGTCAACCAGCACAGGCACAGGAGCTAGGCACTGTGGGTCCAAGGCTCCCCCAGGTATAGGCCCAACCTGTCATTCGTGGGCCCTCATTCAGCCAGGCTGAAAAACCTCCTGGCTTCACTACTATACTGTGGCAAGGAGTCAGAGAGATGACACTCCCTGCAACACTCAAGGGAAGCCAGATCCTGAGATAACCATTGCTAGACCTTGCAGGATGGCATCCAGGGAAGCTGTCACTTTTTCCTCCTCCCGGCTGGCCTTGCCCAGAGGGTGGTCGTGAGAGGTGCAGGGAGATGTGTGGTTGCCTCCCCAACCCCTACCCCAGTCAGGGACTGCACTGGACTGTCTGGCGGGAGGAGAGAAGCGCAGGGCCTGCCGAGTCCCAACCCCTTCGCTCTCTCTTCCCGACCTCTCCCACGGCGGCCCACCAGGTTTCTACGTGACTCTGGTGGTGAACCGCTGGTGGTCCCAGTACACGAGCATCCCCCTGCCGGACCAGCTGATGTGCGTCATCTCGGCCAGCGTGCACGGCACGGATCAGCGCGGCCGCCTGCTTCGCCGCACCCTCATGCGCTATGCCAACCTGGCGTCCGTGCTGGTGCTGCGCTCGGTGAGCACGCGCGTGCTCAAACGCTTCCCTAGCCTGGGCCACGTGGCGGACGCAGGTGCGCGGGCGGTGGTCTGGCCCCCAGGGGGCGCTACAAGGACGTCTCGGGCAGAATGGCGGGAGGCAGTGGGGTGGACCTGCTGCTTCCCCTGGCGGCGGATTGCAACCCTTCAACTTCACCCGCCAGGTTTCATGTCCCAGGAAGAGAAGAAAAAGTTTGAGAGTCTGAAGTCAGACTTCAACAAATACTGGGTCCCCTGCGTCTGGTTCACGAACCTGGCTGCCCAGGCCCGCAGGGATGGGCGCATCCGGGACGACATCGCGCTCTGTCTCCTCCTGGAAGTGAGTTAGCCTCGGATCAAGGCTCCCTAGCTTTGATTAAATTTGGAATCTAATACTTGTGTGGCGCCACCTACGTGCTATGAACATTTGGAAGCGCGCACAATATAGTAACTCATTTAGCCCTCACAGCCCTTGAGGCACACACGTTTCTTATCCTCTTTTCATAGATGAGGAAACTCGGGCATAAAGTAGAAAAACCCAAATCACACAGCTAGTTAGTGCAACAGGGATTCACACTCAAGACTTTCTGGTTCCAGCTGCTTGCTGCAGCTTCGCTAAATTGCTCTTTATCGAAGGCAGCCCAGCTTGTCAGGATTGCGGGCGGTGGAGTCCCAGAACTGCTCATGCTGGGTCCCCTGGGCACTGCTTAGCTCTCCTTGCTCGCCTCTGCTGACCTCCTCTGTCTGCTTTACCCCAGGAGCTGAACAAGTACCGTGCCAAGTGCAGTATGTTGTTCCACTATGACTGGATCAGCATCCCGCTCGTCTACACCCAAGTAACTGCCTCTTTCCCCCTCCCAGTGCCCACTGTGAGTCCTAAGAACTAGATGGTCCTTACTGGGTCATGAGGACCCTCACTGGCCCTGAGTCTCATGAACAGCATAGGGCTCATTCTCAAACCCACCTGCCACTCCACCCATAAGACCCTATCCCACGATTAGTCACTTGTCAGTTCCTCCCAGAGCGGAGGCAGAGGCGCACTTCTCTCTGCCTCATGGCACCGTCCTCTGGGCCTGGCTTTCCCTTCTCCAGGTGGTGACCATTGCAGTGTACTCCTTCTTCGCTCTCTCCTTGGTTGGCCGCCAGTTTGTGGAGTCAGACACAGAGGCCAACAAGCCTCAGGAGCCTCTGGAGCCACACCAGGAGCCAGCACCGGCCCTGGGAGACCCAGACATGTACGTGCCTCTCACCACGCTACTGCAGTTCTTCTTTTATGCTGGCTGGCTCAAGGTGGGTACTTCTGAGAGTCATGTTGCCTTGCTCTGCAAAAACATGGGCACAAGTCTCCCAAAATTGGGGACAAGTGGGGTTCTGGAGCCAGAGGATACTGTCCACACCCTGCAGGTGGCTGAACAGATCATCAACCCCTTTGGTGAAGATGACGATGACTTTGAGACCAATCAGCTCATAGACCGAAACCTGCAGGTGAAGTGGGGCTTGGCGGTGAGACCAGATCCCTGCAAGTGCTCGGCCTGGGTGTGGAAGTGATGAAGGCCGCTGTGACCTGTGTCTCCCCTTCTCCTGGCCCAGGTGTCCCTGCTGGCTGTGGATGACATGTACCAGAACCTGCCCCCTGCGGAGAAGGACCCGTACTGGGATGAGGCCCAGCCGCTGCCACCCTACACCTTAGCCACAGCAGCTGACTCGCTGAGACCTTCCTTCCTGGGCTCCACTTTCAACCTGCGGTGAGTGGTCACCTTCTGGGGCACCAGCGGCTGCTCTGGTCTCTAGCAGGCCATCAAGTCTCGCTCCTTGCCACTCCTGTCCACAGCATGAGCGATGACCAGGAGCAGACCTGGCAGGTGGAGGCGTCTCCGACACCGGCGCGGCCGCCCGCACAAACTCCACTGCTCAGCCGCTTTCTGGGCGCAGGTGCGCCCTCCCCGGCCATCAGCCTGCGCAACCTCGGCCGCGGCGTGCGCGGAACTCCGCGCACCCCGTACCCGGTGCGTTTCCGGGTTGAGGAGGGCGGTGACGCAGAGTCCTCGGGGCGTATAGAGGAGGAGGCTGCAGAGTCCGCGGAGGAGGGCCTGGAACCCTGATGCTGCCCATCACACCTGCTGGCCTCCCTGTAGCCCTAGGCCTTGCCTGCCAGCTGACAGATTTTTCCAGGTGCCTTGAGAGCTTTAGGGAGGGCCTTAAAGGCCAAGACACAGGGCAAGGGTTGAGGATGTGGCTCCTATGAAGGCCCTGGAGTTAGTACACTGTACCACAAAAATAAAATTAAAAACGTTTTGTTTTGTCTTGTTTTTGGGGATCTAACTCATGACTTCATGCTTGCTAGGCAGGCACTTATACCAGTGAACTAAATCCCCAGCCCTTTAAAAAATTATTTTTGAGACTGTAGTCCAGGCTGGCCTTGAATTCATTGGCAATCCTCCTGCCTCAGCCTTCCAAATGCTCAGTGTCACAGTCCTGAATTTGTGATCCTGCTTCAGCCCCCTAGAATGCTGGGGTCAGTTATGTGCTACAGTAGGATACAAATTCTGGCTTTCCTTCATCTGTTCGACTGTGGGATACCTAAGTTTTGCTGTTGGGTTTTTTTAGGATGGGGGTCTATATAACAGTTCAGGCTGGCCTTGAACTCACTGTGTAGCCCAGTCTAACCTTGAAATCATGGTGATCTACCTGCCTCAGCCTCCTGGGGTTATAGAAATGTGCCACGGAACCAGGGATACAAAACATTTTTGGACAAATGCTTTATCCGTGTACCCCAGATAGTCAACATTTGGAAGCCTGTTTCCAAATCTGTCATAGTCAATAGCACTTCACAATGACAGCCACTCACACAAAAGGCATCACAGGGGAGATAGCCTGGCTCTTGGTGAGCTTATCTACAAAGATAACTGCTATGGAGTGGGTAGACAACTTCACAGAACCCACTCATCTTACTGATCCATTAGGTAGAAGACTCAGTTGTGGTTCTCCAACAAACTGAAGCAGGACTGCAAAAGATCAAAGCCTTGTAGAGCTATTAGAAAATGCAGGCAGAGATAGGAATATGTCACATGCCTGTAATCCTACCAATCAGGAGGCTAAAGTAGGAGGCCTCCCACTGCAGAGTTCAAGGCCAGCTTGGGCTAGAGACCCTGTCTTTAAAAAACAAAACCAGGCATGGAATGTGTGGTCCAGTGTGTAACTTGTTTAGCATGTGGCCTGCCTCAGTGGCCAGCACACTCTTCTCCCCTCTCCCCACACTAGAGAGGTTAAATCTTCTGTTGGACAGAGCTCTTAGTAAGAGTTAATACCTAGGGGCTGAACGAAGGTCAACACTGGGTGGGAAAGCATGCCAGAGCCAACAAATGACTTAAGGATCTCTTAGGTTGAAGGGTTTTTTTAACAAGGTCTTTATACTCAGAAAAACGTAACATTCTATACAAACTGGATTTTTGTGTACTTGCAACTTATCAAAAATAAGGAACCAGGGGCTGGGGATTTAGCTCAGTGGCATAAGCGCCTGCCTTGCAAGCAGGCAGTTGTGAGTTCGATCCCCAGTATCGATAAAAAGGAAAAAGACAAAAAAAAAAAAAAAAAAAAAAAAGGAACCAACTGAATTTTGCACTTTTATGTAAAGGTACAAACCTGTAATCCCAGCATTCTGGAAGGTTTTTAGACAGTGAGAGATAAACCTGGGCAAATTAAGAGATAGTCTCTAGCCGGGTGTAGTGCCTCATGCCTATAATCCCAGCACTCAGAAGGCAAAGGCAGGAAGAACATTCCAAATTCCAGAGCCAGGGCTGCAAAGTGAGCTCAAGGCCAGCCCAAGCTACACAGTGAGATCTTGTCTCATAAACTAAAACAAGCCAAGAAGATTATCTCAAATTTGAGGTAAGCCTGGGCTTCACAGGGAATTCAAGGCCAGCCTGAACTATAGTAACACCTTGTCCCAAAACAAAACAACTGGGTGTAGTGGTGCATGTTCATAATCCCAGCAATGGGGAGGCTGAGGCAGGAGGATTGTAGCGAATTGTGCCCAGCCTGTCCTACAGTTGAGACCATCTCAAAAAACAAATATAAAACTCATTTGCCAACCAGGTAGAGCTCAGCTAAGTAGCAGAGACCTGGAATGAGCTACCTGGCTATTTGTAGTGAAGTACCTGGACACATCAGTGGGAACCAACCTGTATGTTCACTGAGGTCAGGCTGGTGTGTGGTTTGTGACTCACCATCAGAGACACCAGGTCACATCTTTTAACTGGCAAGGATCTTTATTCTAGGTAGGAGTGGTGATGCATGCCAGTGATCCCACCAACTAGCAAACTCTAGGCCAGCCTGGGCCTTGAGATCCTCATCAACAAACACTACAAAGGAGCTGGAGACCCATCTGACATCAGTATATATGAGTATGAATGTCCAGGAAATAGACAGGTGATGTCTGGCCTGGGAGTATACTGCTTAGAGATAGAGCACTAAGCTAGCATGTACTTAGCTCAGCCTCCACCCCCAGCATGGCCAAAAAACAAAATAGCAATCTCTGTCAGCATGCACTTGTAGCCTCAGCTATTCAGCTGAGGCAGGAGGACCCTCTAGTTAAGAGACCACCCTGGACAGTATAGGTAAACTCCCATTTTAAAAATAAAAGATGAGGCTGGGTGTGGTAGCATACTCTTGTAATCTCAACACTCAGAAGGATCCTTTCAAATTTGTTACTAGCCTAGATTACGGTGAGTTTAAGGCCAGCCTGAATTGCATGGCAAGACCCTGTCTCAAAGACAAAAGCACCTGCCTGGTAAGCACAAGGTTGTGAGTTAAATCCTGGGTACTAAAAAAGAAAGTATTAGAGATATACAGTTCAGTGTGAAGGCCCTAGGGTTCACTGAATTCCTAGCATCACCTAAAAAAGGGGTTTTTAAGTGACAAGTATGTAAGTATGATGTCACTGCAAAAAAAGGGACCAAAATAAAGATCAAGACCCAAGTTCAACCAACATTTGGCAACATTACATGTGGAATTCCAGAGTATGTTCAGAAGCCTGGTGTGGTAGCACAAACCTACAGTCTCAGCTTAGAGGAGACCAAGGCAGGACTGTCACAGGTTACATAGTGAATTCAGGGCCACCCTGGAATACACAGAAATCCCATCTCAAAAGAGCAATTGTATTTCGATAACTCTTTGGTATTGATGGTAAAGTTGAGAGGCTGGTGGTAGATGAATCTTTCAACAAGCCTTGAGAAGTCCAAGTTCAAATCAGACAATTTTGAAGTTTAGGCAAACTTTCCAAAGATGAAATTTTTTTTGTTTTTGGTATTTTGAGATAGGGTCTCACTATGTAACCCAGGCTGGCCTCAAAAATCACTGTGATCCTGCCTCAGCCTCCCAAGGGCCAAGATTATGGGTGTACGCTAAAAATAGCACCCAGCAAACCATAACACTTGGATGCTGATGACGGCAAGTTGAGAACAAAGATTTCTTAAAGCAAAAATCACTAGTATCCTAGACATTTAAAAATTCTGGCTGGCAAGGGGTATAGGGACTTAACCTGCTTTCACCAATGCAGTAGATTCAATACAACTTCAAGGTTTCCATACCATCCACAAATTCAGGTTATACACTTACCTGCTGGGGATGTAGTGTGGTGGTACAGAATATTCTTAGTGATCACAAGGCCCTGGCTTTGACCTCTAGCACACACATATAATCTTACCCAAATATTTACAACCTAGGTTTGTATGCAAACGAAAGGGACACAGGATCTTTACAAACTTACAGACTTCATACAACATGAACATAGAACAATAAACACCTTTATTACATGAACTAATCAAGGAGGGAAGGTTTATTTGCCTTTCCGGGCCTTGATTTTCCTCAGATAGAACTCCAGCTCCTTGCCCTCTAGCACATAGCCGTCTGCTCTGCCACACTGGCCTGGTCTTGATGCAATGCAGGCTGCAAAAGAATATGTGGCCCTTACCAAAATGACAAAAAAACCCCACCCAACTGTATCCTTTAAAAAAAAAAATCCATGATGGTCCTTGGCACCCTAGGGGGCAGGCATGAAGCCCACAATCTTGTCAGATATACTTTATCAGCACTTGAAGTCAGTAGCAGAACTGGACAAAGTTTTCATCATTAAGACGGCCCCCATCAACTTGAGAATGGACTTCTGGAAATACTCCTGGAACCCAGCAGCCAAGTCCTCTAGACCACACAACTGGCAGTCAAATAAACTTTAAGGCAAGGATAAGACAAAGTGTGTATTGCACATTGCCGTGAGTCCCACCTCCCCAGCACAAAGGCTGTCTCACCAAGAAGCTTGCCCTGCTGGAACTGCTCCTCCAGAAGACTGCTGATTTTGGCGTTCTTTTTCCTTTCATCGTACTTCTTTTGAATTTTCTTTGATCGTTTTTTGTTTAAAATCTCTTCCTCCTCAGGAGTCTGAGTAGAGAGAATACACTGACTAGCTCAGAAAAGACCTGATATCAGAACTTTCTCAAACTCCAAACACCCTCATGCCTGCCTTCCTCAGCACTAAAAGGTTTCATCACTCCCCCTTCAGCAGCAGAACTGAACAGTCTTCATCACGAGAAGGCTCAGGCCACAGTACCCTCAGCCCCAAACAGAAGGAACACGCACCAGCTTGGCCCCCTTCTTGCGGCCCAGGGGCAGTGCATAGTGTGATTCGTACCACTGTCGGTACGGTGTGCTGTCAATGAGCACAATGCAGTTCTTCACCAGGGTCTTGGTGCGGACCAGCTCATTATTGGATGCATTGTAAACAACGTCAATGATCCTTGTTTTTCGAGTACAACCTGCTCAGGAGATTTAGAATCAAGTCAAGTAAACCACAAGACAACTGTTTTGCCCTCCCGCGTCTTTCCCAAGACCCCACACAACCACAGAGGATCAGCTTTTTTTATATTACCTCACCTTTTCAGAGGTATTTGGCAACCAAGCCTCCAGAATCAACTCCAACCCATCAGGCTTCAGGAGTTAGGAAACCACCCACTTCCACAGGCCCCACTCACACTCAGAGCCCCAGGAGAAGTTTCCCACATCCAGCCTCAGGGCTCGGTACTTCTTATTGCCTCCTCGAACTCGGACTGTGTGTATTCGGCGGGGGCCAATCTGGGAAACACAAGAACTTGGTTATCAAGTACTGCAGGTCACAGGAGGGGAATATGTGCTGGACGGAGGCAACGGTTCAGTGTAACTATGACAAGTCCTCGCATTGGCAAGTGGCACACTAGTGACCAAGACGGCCACAACCACACCTAAGGATACTTTTTTCATCACGTTTGTTGCCTGTAAGTAGGAAAACCTGTCCCCAAATGCGGAAAAATTATCACAAAAATACCACAATTCTAATTATCCCGGGGAAGATGCCTGACCAGAAGCCCTCCTGAGTCCCAGTGCACAGGGTCTCCTTTTGATGTTAAGCTCTCCCGGCAGGGGGCACAAGGCATCTTGTCCCTTCAGTTTATTCGGCACTACTCAGTGGGGAAAACAAAGAAACCACAGGCCCAAGGTAAAACCCATAATAGCCACACGTAAGGGTCGACACAGCACCCACCTTGGTGTTGGCAGCAGGGCGACCCAACTCATACTTCCGCTTCTTGTGATAGGGCTTTCTTTTGCCCCCGGTCTTGCGGCGTTTATGCCAGTTGTCCCGAGAGATGCCTGCATGCGGGAGCGGGTAAGAGAGCTGGAACCATCGGCCTCGGCGACGGCGGCTCACCTCCTCCGGAGCCCCCCGCACCGGCCCGCCGCACGCTCAGCTCTCCAAGGTTTGCTTCCCCACCGCTCAGTCGGGAGTACGCAGCGTTACCGAGGTGTCATCATACACGCGCGGCCTGGCCTGCTGTTTGCAGCGGCAGCCATGTTAGCACAGAGGGCAGCCCCGGGTCCCTTGGAGACCCCACAGTGGGCCCCGGAAGCCAAAACACGAAGGCCTATCATCCCTCGTAGTTGTTCGCAGCCAGGGACCTGAGTGTTTGCACTCCTAAATTTTGGCGCGGGTAAGGATGGCACCGGATTAAACTCACCCCCTGCCGCAGGAAAGCAAACGAGAACTCACCCATTGCTCGGCGCTGGCTGGAAAGAGGAAACGCAAAGGCTCACGGTTCGATTTGTGAGACGTTGCCCCGCCCCTTTTGCGTCTCTTCCGGGCATTGTGGAGACCAGATGAAGCTCGCGCTTTCTGGCGCAGGACCTAGTGTTTAGAGAGGGATAACACGGGACTTGCTGGCTGGGCGTCCTGTACAACCCGATCTTCGGCGGGATGAGAGGGCGAACACGCCGCACTAAATAGAAGCGGAAAAGTTTTAAATCAGGCGTAGTGGTGCGCTTCTGTAATCCAGCACTCTGGGAGGCTGAGGTAGGAGGATAGAAAGTTTTAAACCGGGCGTGGGTGGCACACGCCTGTATCCCCGCACTTAGGGCAGCAGAGAATCCACAGTCTGGGCACCTTTGTGGTTTAGGTAGACTCCTCACGTACTGCGATGAGAAAGGTCTGGAGGCGTAGCTCCGTGCCGAATCACTGGGTTTCATCCCGGGTAGTGCAAATAAAGTTTGAGCTCAGGCTGGGCGACATGGCAGCAAAACGAGATCGTGTCAAGGCTTGCACCAGGGTTGGTGCAACCGAAAAGTGCTTAGAGTTCAGTTGAGCATCATTGTGCTTCAAGTATTTTGAAAGGTTTTCTTCAGAAATTAAAGAACAGCCGAGAGTGGTGGTGCACGCCTGTAAGCCTAACATTTTGGAGGCAGAGGCAGGATTATTACCGGAAGTTCGAGGCCTGTTTGAACTACATACATCCTACCTACAAAAAAAAAAAAAAAAAGACTGTCGGGCGTGGTGGCGCATACCTATAATCTCAGCACTTGAGAGGTTGAGGCAGGAGGGTCACTTCCAGTTCGAGGCCAACCTGAACTGTATAGCAAAACCCTTGCTCACAAAGATAAAAAAGAGAAATGTGGGTGTGGTTGTGTTAGAAAAGATTGGAGTGCAGTGTAGGGGGTTGGTTTGGGTTTTGTTGGGAAGGGTTTGGTGATAGATTGAACATGAAGGGCCTGTGAAGAATTCTTAAATGAGCCGGGGATTTAGCCCTGGCAAGGCAAGCTTGTGAGCTTGGGCACTGGTACCATCCCCCCCAAAAAAGGTTACATTTGGCCGTAGGAATATATAGCTCAGCGGCACAGTAATTGCCTGGGAAATGTGTGTTCAATTCGGTACCAAAGGGGCGGGGAGCCTAAATTTGATCAATTGAATGGATCTTCATGTCATTTACTAAAATGGTAAAGTAGTAGTTGTTCTGAATACACTGTGAAATCCAGGTGAATTATAAGAATGATAGGTAGGCAGTGTGATGATAGTCCTGTCTGATCACTGGTCTGGACAGAAGATGGTACTTTGGAGTCAGAGGTATAGAACCTAAAACCATACTTAAGGCCATCTCAAACAAGGAGAGGTCAGAGCCAGACATGGTGGTTCGCACCTGTAATCCCAGCACTCGGGAGACTGAGGCAGGAGGACCATTGTTGAGTTCGAGACCAGCCTGGACTACACAGTGAGCTCAAGACCAGCCTGAACTGTATAGTGAGACCCTGTTTCAGAAAGACAAAAAAAAAAAAAAAAAAAAGAGGTCAGCAAATCTATGAAAAATAAATACTTCAGGGACAGCAACTCAGATCTCCAGTCTAATGCTAAATGCAGCCATAGATAACAGTAAGCAAAGCGCGAGTCCTTGACTTGGCCCAACCTCTCAAGTGCTGGGATTACAGGTGTACACCACTACAGAACACTTGGCTCAGACTTCTTCTGAATGAATTTCCTGCATTAAGACCCCAAAAGACCAACTAAACATCAAAATAGAGGGGCTAAGGATATGTCAGTGTAAAGCACTTGTTAGCACCCGAGACCATAGGTTTCATCCCTAGCACTGCAAAAATAACAAATAAAATGATATTGCTCATATTATAATTCTCCAGGGCCAGAGATACAGCTCAGCACCTGCCTGGCAAGCCCAACGTTGTGAGTTCAATCCCTGGTACCAAAAAGAAAAAAAGAAATAAAATTCTTCATCACCAATTGAAACTAATCTGACCTCCAGAGAAATCAGGAGAAGCCAGGGGTGGTGGTGCCTATCTGTAATCCCAGCACTTGGGAGCCTGAGGCAGGAGGATTACTGAAAATTTGATGTCAGTTTGGGCTATACAGTGAGACCTTGTGTCAAATAACCAGAAACAAAAAACAACAGCAAAAGAAGCTAGGGATTTAGCTCAGCCACATAAGTACTGCCTGGCAAGCTTGAGGTTGTTAGATCTTTGGTACCAAAAAAAAAAAAAAAAAAAAAAAAAAAAAAAAAAAAATCACAAAAAGGAGCTGGATTAAGCTGTAGCTTTGTGTGCTTATGTGCATGTTCCCAGGCATGCCTATAAGGGATGTAGATTAGGGCAGAGTGCTTGCCTAGCATGGATGACGTGCTGGTTCAATCTCCAGTATTGGGGGTGGGGTGGGAGAGAGCTTCTAGGCCAAGGCTTGAGGAAGCTCAGTATTTCAGGTGACATAGAGAAAAGCAGCTGGCAAAGAACAGAACAAAAATGTGGCAGGAGGGGCTGGGGATTTAGCTCAGTGGCATAAGCGCCTGCCTTGCAAGCAGGCAGTCGTGAGTTCGATCCCTGGTACTGATAAAAAAATGAAAAAAAGACAAAAAAAAAATTTAAAAAAATGTGTCAGGAGCAAAGCCAGCACAGGGCAATACCATGGTGTGATGTTGACAGGAAATGTACTCCAAACAAAACCTAAAAAGTGATGGTTGGATTTGGTAAACCCAAGTCCTTGGAGATAAGCAGGAAGCATTTCCTGTGCAGTGAACTTGGCATCAGGGCTAAGATGAGAAATTTCTCCCTAAAAGCTGACATGTCACAGAAAAACAACGTTCAGTACTAGTCAGTCAGGAGGCATGGGAAGGGCTCTATTAGGCGCAAATTCAAAAGTATGGTACAATGGGGACCTCAAGATGGAGAGGCACATTAAAGCTGGAACTGGGTATATTTATAGGACTTTAGGGACATTTTAAAAATGGGTGTCTAAAGCTGGATGTGGTGGCACGTCTGTAATCTCAGCACTCAGGTTGAAACGAGAAAAAACTAAAGTTCGTAAGCAAGAAAATGAACAGTCAACTATAGTACATACAGTGGAATACAACTCAGCAGTAGAAAGGGCCAGGTAACTAAGACGTGGCTTGGGAAGCACTGTCCTGGACAGTCCTGGGTCACAGTATTAACTTTTTTTTTTTTTTTTAATCGGTACCAGGGATCGAACTCACGACTCTGTGCTTGCAAGGCAGGCGCTTATGTTGCTGAGCTAAATGCCCAGCCCCCTGTTAACTTGTTTATATGATGTTTTATTTATTTTTTGATACTAGGAGTCTAACTCAGGACCTTTGCACTTGCCAGGCAGGTGGTGCCACTGAGCTATATCCCTGGCCCTAGAGCAATGTGAACTTAAAGTGAAAAAATCAAAACAGTGGTTGTCTAGAGTTTGGGAAAGGATGCAGGGAAGTTTCTGGAGAAAAGGGACACAGAACTATTGTCCAGTGTGTGTAGGAATACTGTCTTTTTTATTCTGTATTTCTGCTGCTTTGACATCTTGGGGCCCTGGATGGACCAGACTGGCCTTCCCAGAACTGGTGAATTGGGGCCCCACAGGGAGCTTTTCATGTGTAAACCACCAGGCCAGACTTCACCTCTCAACTGCCCCTCCGTGATACAGCCACTCTCCCAGCCAATATTTCCTCCCTCATCTCCCCAACCAGGCAGCACACAAAGCTCCTTAGCCCCAACACCATTGAAATCACTCACACTTGCCCATATCAAGCCTCTTTCGCCCAGCCTCATCTCTTCCTTCAGAAATTACAATAAATTTTCTGCCCACATTCTGTCCTCTTCTCTAGGGATCTGTGACTATAACAACAAAGAAACAAAACAAAAACTTATCTTTTCAATGCCTGTCTTCAAACTTGTTAACCTTGCCACACCTGAATAAGAATAAAACGTGTATTTAAAAACCACATTTGTTAGGCAGGGGATATAGCTCAGTGGCACAATGCCTGCCCTGTAAGCATGAGTATGAAGTCCCGAGTTTGAGTTCTAGATTTGTGCCGGGCATGATGGTGCATGCCTATAATCACAGCACTTGGGAGGCTGATGCAGGAGGATCACAGAGAATTTGAGGCTAGCCTGGACTACATAACCAAGTTCAAGGCCAGATCTGTAGCAAAAATTATAAATTTCCCTTAGAAAAGAGCTACATAAATCGAGGATGGTGGGAAATAGGTGGACATACAGCTGAAACAAGAATGGCAGCACAGCACCTGCCTGGCAAGTATGAGGTCATGAGTTCAACTCCTGATCCAAAAAAAAGCAAAGTTGTTATAGTTTCATGATGGGTACATGAGAGTTCAGTATACTATTCTATTTACCTTGAACACATTTAAGATTTTCTATAACACATTTTAAAAAGAACACAGCAAAGTAGGCCATGGTACTTTATTTACTGTATTGACTTTATGAGAACATTCACAGGTGTTTATAATTAATAAATACACAAGGATAAAAGTATTCATGACAGGCTGGAGGGGAGAGTTACCAAAAAACCAGAAAAAAATCAAGAAATAAAAAAAAAAATTTAAAAGGTACTATACTACATTAGAGATAGGATAAAGCTTGAAAAACTGTGTTTCTCAAGTTATTAAATTTAAGTATTCAATTTTTTTTTTTTTTGTACCAGGGATCGAACTCATATTTCACACTTACTAGGCAGGTGCTTACATTGTTGAGCTAAATCCCTGGCTCTAAACTTACTGCTTTTTTTTTTCCTATTAACTAGTGATTTCTTAAACTTATTTCAAAATTAAATGAAAATGGGGTATGGTGGTGCATGCCTGTAATTCCAAAATCAGGAGGCTGAGGCAGGATTACTGCAAGTTCAAGGCCAGTATGGGTTACAGTGAGTTCAAGGTCATTCTGAACTGCATAGTGAAACTGTCTCAAAAAGACCAAAAAAAAAAAAAAAAAAAAAAAGTAAATAAAATGAAGATGATTGGGTATGGTGATAAATGCCTATCATGCCAGTGATATAGGAGAAATATTGTTAGCGAAATGGGAGGAAGAGAAACAGTGGTATGGGGGCTGGAGTTACAGCTCAGTGGCACAGCACTTACCTGGCAAGCACGAGGTCATGAGTTTGATCCCTGGTACCAAATAAATAAGAATCAGAGATATGTGCTCAACATACCTTTATTTCAGACCAAACCCGAGGGGGACTATCCTGGCTATCATTCAGGCCATGAGGTCTTTTACAGAGTCACTTTAGTGAAAGGGACTGTGGCTACCTGCCAAGGACAGGAAATCTGCTCAGTGTCTCATGTCAGGCATATCCCCTGAGACTGAAGAATTTGCAAGAGACAATGGACATTAAGAACAGGTAAGACGGGGCTGGGGATTTAGCTCAGTGGCATAAGCTCCTGCCTTGCAAGCAGGCAGTTGTGAGTTCGATCCCTGGTACCGATAAAAAGGAAAAAAGACAAAAAAAACAAAAAACAAAAAAAACCCCAAAAAAACCAGGTAAGATTATTGAGAGACAGTTCCTAAGAGACAGGAGGGATCCCAAATGGGTTGCCACCAAAGGCCTTTGTCAGGGGTGATTTATACAGCAAAGTCACAATATGGGTACAGTGCGGGTCAGACTACAACCTACCTATAGGATCATAAGCATAGCCACTTAGCCAATATTGAGCCAATGGTGGTGGTGGGGGCACATGCAAGGGTTTATGACTGATATCATAAACCGTAGCCATTTATGACTTCTAAAACAGGAACATTATAAAGAAACTGAGGCAGGAGGATCACTGCAAGTTCAAGGTCAGCCTGGGCTACATAGTGAGCTCAAGGCCAGCCAGAACTACATGGCAAGACTATCTCAACCTCCCACCCCAAAAAAGGAGCATTTGGGAAGGGGTGGGTCCAAGTGTTCTGGTCACCTACTTGGATGTCTATGGATCTGAAATTGGACTCCTGAGTCCAATTAGAACTCAGGCTTTCTAGTCTAGTTCTTTCACACAGTGTTACAGTAAACTGGGACCTTAAAAGGAAGTGGTTAATTCGCATTATAATTTTCTTGAAATTCAGGATCTTAGTGGACTGCATTCCATGATGACTGAGGAAATTCATTCTTCGTCCTAAGTCCCACTTCACTGTCTATACTAATTTTCTTTTGTACTGGAAATCAAATGCAGAACCTTGCTTTTGCCAGGCAAGCACTTATGCTGCTAAGCTATATTCCCAACCCTTTATATTTTGTATTATATGGCTGGTCCCTCCACTCTGTCTCAGCTCCTTCCCCTAGATAAATGAATTATTATTAGCTAACTAAATAAACTATCTTCTACATCAGCACTCAGAAGAGCAGAAGGCCTTTGTAGATTTTTTTTCTTTTTCATTTTTATCAGTACCAGGGATTGAACCGACTACTGCCTGTTTTGCAAGGCAGGCACTTATGCCGCTGAACTAAATCCCCAGCCCCCAGCCATTGTAGATTTTCAAGGCAACATTCCATTTGTTTACTGACAGTGCTTGCAACCAGCCCAGAGAAACTAGAGAATGAAGACTGAGGAGTCCTCTGATGATCAGCCTTATGACTCATGGATTCCAGGGCTTTTTTTTTTTTTTTTTTTTTTGTCTTTTTATTGGTACCGGCGATCGAGCTCACGACTGCCTGTTTGCAAGGCAGGCGCTTATGCAGCTGAGCTAAATCCCCAGCCCCTTCCAGGCTTATTGTAGCCTTCTAGTGGATACATAATGATACATTGTATCTTTAGAGCTTTGCTTCACATCTCTGCAGTAAACTATGATATTGAGTGCCTTTTCATATAATTAGCTGTGTATGTTTTCTTTGTTGAGATGCCTCTTCAAATCTTTTCCCTATTTATAAATTAGAAAAAAAATTTTTTTTGAGGTAGGACCTTGATAGGTTAGAGTCAGATTTGAGCCAATCCTCTTGTCTCAGCAGGAGCTTGATTGTTGACTTTAGCCCCATATTGGATATGTTTCATATTTCTTTTCTGTACTAAGGTTTTTTTTACTTTCCTGATTGTGGATGGCATTTGAAAAGTTAAATTTTAATTTTTTTTTTTTTAAACAAGGTCTCACTATACAGTTCAGGCTGGTCTTGAGCTCATTTTATAGCCCAGGTTGTTCTCAAACTTGCAACAATCCTCTTGCCTCAGCCTCCCAAATGTGGGGATTATAGGCGTGTGTCAATGCCCAGCTAAATTTTTAATTTTGATGAAGTTTACTTTATCTGGTTTTCTTCTTTCACTGTTTTTGATGTCCATCCTAAAAATCCAGTAGAAATCATCAGCACCTTTACAGTCACTGGAAAATGCAGACATTACTTCAGGGCTGACCCCAGTTCACACATGAGAATTTGACAAGGGGGCCTCAGATTGATTTCCACTTGTGTCAGACAGATTTATCTTTGTTGAAAGAGCCCTGGATTATACTGTTATTTGCTTCCCTGAATGAAGCTATCAAATTCAGTTACGAAACAGTATGGTCTGACAGCAGTGTTTATCTTTCTCATGTTTTAAGCAATAATGAATTTCCTATAATGTTCACCCAGGAAGAAAAGGCAAGAACATTTTGGGTAATTTTGAGTGCACATCATATAGCTTCATTCCTAGAGTTTGTAAAATTAATGTTTTTGTTTGAAAAACAGGGTCTCACTTTGTAGTTCAGGCTGCCTTTCAGCTCCTACCAATCCTCCTGAGTGCTGGGATTAAGGTATGTATGGGTCCTACACTTGACTAAAATTGTTACAATGTTTTTTAGTGTACATCCATCAAGAAGTTGAGCAAGTTTTCTTGTGTACTCCTGTGTTTTGTTCATGGCAGTCGATCCCTGACACAAATAACCAACACAAATCTGACATTTCAACAAAGAGAGCTGTTGAAATGGGGCCCACTGCTTGAGTGCTGGGATTACAGTGTGCTGCCATGCTTATGTGGGACAGGTCTTCTAATGTAGCTTCAGCTGGCTTTCAACTCACTATGGAGCCCAGGCTGGGCAATAATTCATAGTGGCCACAGGCATGTAATACCATGCCTGGTTTTTTTTGGTGGTACTGGGGTTGAATCCAGGGCCTTTGTTCCCTTTTTTTTCTTTTATTGAGACAGGGTCTCATTAGCTGCTTAATTTCTAGGACTGGACTTGAACTTGTGATCCTCTTGTCTCACTCTCCCAGAATGCTGGGATTACATGTGTGCCGCTGTCTTGGCTTCTGGGTTTCTACCACATATTCTGCAGACTGGAAGAGAGCAGCATCTCCTCTACCTATAATCCCTGTTCCTTACAGAATACTGCAGCCTAGTACACGTCATCAGCTATGACCAAGTCAGAGACGCTGCAACTGTAGGCATGGCTTTGTTCTGGAAGAGTACACTGCTGAGCCACAGCTGCAGCAGTGTTCTTGGTCCCACAAGGCTCAAACACAACTCTGGCTCTTTGCACACACCACTCAAAAGGCTGAGTTTTCTTCTGCTTTATTGTTTAACGTGGTGCATAAATACATAAAATATACTAGGGATTCTCTTGAGCCTTGAAAATTGCCAAGGAAGGAAGACCCAAAACCTTTTTTTTCCAAAAAGTACAAAACACACACGTGCACAAACAGAGTATATGGCAGCATGGAGCTGGCTCCTCCTCCCATGGGGCCAGGACAAACCCGAGGAAAGGCCACTAGCAGCTGCCAGTGTGGGCAGGACACTGCCCCAGGGAAACTAGATAGAACTCCCAGCGTAGAGCAGGGCGAATCGCAGGGCTACTAGAAGCTCCTTCTTCTTGCTCCCAATCTGAGGAAAAGGTAAGTAATGTTTCCCACCCCAGGTGCTCCCACACTTGGCATTTACCAGAACCTACCCCTGCACGGACCCTGAGCAATCCGCCAGGTACCCAAAGTTCACCAGGCAGGGGCCAGAGGGGAAGACGCCAGGGGAACCAAACAGGTCTTTATTTGCCGTTACTGGGGCCGTTTCTTGCTGCTTATTTGTTTGCTTGTCTGCTGTTCTCGATGTATGGCCAGGCGCAAGGCTTTGATGACCTCTGGAACGAGAGTGCAGCGGTACACAAGGCATCTCCTAGGGTCTATACTCCCATACTGCCCAGGAGCCAGCAGGCCACCACGTCACCCCGTGGCCACACTCACCTTGCAGGACTGTGAAGTGCTTGGCTTGCTGGGCCAGAGCAGCTTCAGCTTTGTATAGGAAATTCTCCAGGTCATAGTCTGGCTGCTCAGTCATTGCAGAGAGCTCAAGCCAGCCTGGTCCTAGCTGCAATCACATAGGAAGGACCTGTGTCAGCTCAGTGACAATGGCAACATCTTTGAAGGTCACCCCTGGGACCACCATCAGCAACACAGATGGCTGTGCCAGATACCATACCTCTATCTGTGCCCCACACCCTGTTTCTTAACCCTCTCCCCAGGGAAATCCTTCTTTGTAAAAATTTTTTTTACAGACAGGGTCTTGCTATGTAGTCCAGGCTAGCCTTGAACTTGAGGCAGTCTTCCTGCCTCAGCTTCCCAAATGCTGGGATTACAGGTGTGTACCACACCTGGCAGAAATCCTCCTCTTAAAAATCATCCCTATCTCCTGTGTGCAATGAAATGTCACTGGTCCTGATGCTCATGTTAGAAACTGGGAGTGACAACTCTTCACTGATTTGTCACTAAAATTTACCAGTTCTACTCTGTAGTAGGGTTCTATTTTGGTCAGTGCTGGAGAAGGAACCCAGGGCCTCCAGCATGGTAGGCTAGTGCTCTATAAATGAGCTATATCCTGTTACAGTGATTTATCTAAAACACTATGATCGTATCACCCACCTCATAGTCTGCAACCACCTCCTCAAGGAGTGCCCAGCCTCTGGTATGAGAATGCAAAGGTCAGGAGGCACCTTGGCCCTGCCGAGCTGTCCGAAGGCTGTCATATGCTCACACCTTGGCTCTGGGCACAGCCAACTATCTCTCCTGGAAATGTCATGTCCTTTTGAACCCTAGGACCCCTGAGCACTCCAGGGAGGGGAAGACAGGCCCGACCACTTCCCTTCTTAACGTTGCCTCCCAAGTCCTCCAAGTTCTTCCTTCTGGTTCCCAATCTCAGCCTGCCCCGTGGTTAGGATGGATTCTGTACCCCTCTAGCAGCAGGGTCACAGCAGCACTTGTTCCACACTGAGCAGAGGCTGGGCCCATGCTGGGGTACTTTATTAAGCACATTGCTTAATCCTCAAACACATCATCCTGTCTTGCCTACTTTAGGAGTGAAGAACTGAGGCCCAAAGAGGCTAAGCGATCCTCAAAAAGAACTCAGCTTGTGCCGGAAAGAGTAAAGACTGATTGCAAACTTAACATTAGAGCCTACTATTCAAACTTGATGTTTTAGCTACATGGTTTCACACAGGGACTAGGACATTCACTGAATCAACAAGACAAGATTCCTGCATGAGTCACTCTGTAAGCCTCAAGCAGGAGCCCACAGGAGCAGAACCAAATCCAGGTAGGAGGACCAATGTGTGCCAGAATGAGTTGGGAGAAGTGGTAATTAGCTGGCCTAGGAGAAGAGCTGACTTGACGGCAGACTCAGAAAAGCGGCTGTTCACAGCGCCTTCCAAGTGTGCTAAGCATGCTGTGGGCTGGGCAGAGGGGGCCCAGTTTGTCCCTGGCTGGGGCTGGCTCCCACCTGTGTGATTGACTTGAGCTCCTCCACAGCCCTTTCCTCCAACTCTCTGATCCGAGTCATAGCTTCATTAAAGCTGGACATCTGGGAAGACAACTCCTCCTCCTCCTTGGATAACTGGGGTATAAGGGAGACAGTAGCATAAAGAGTGGGCCGGGCCCCCTCCCCAAGGTGTGCTTTCACTCAGCCTGCTGTTACCCTTATGCTGTGTGCTGCCAGGGCCCTGGCAGGGTTGGCTTCCGTGTCATCTGTCTCCATCTGCATTGGCTGCTCTCCACTCGGCCCACTGTGGGGGCTCAGTTCTTTGACTCTGAGGAAATATAAAGGGCTCAGATGCCAGAGCCTCCCTTCACCCCGAAGTGCCCCTAGGCAGGGAGGTTAGGGCCCCTGGGGGATGGAGCAGCAGCTTCACTTTTAGCCAAAGATGGGTGGCAGAGCCAGGAGATGCGCCAGGCACGACCTTCACACATTGCCCACTGTAGGCAACTTGAAGGACCTGACACCATGGCTGAGCACCCACATGTAGTCACTGGATCCTGGGGAGGACATGGTGGTTTTGGGGCCCAGCTTCCGCCCTCTAATCCCAGTCACACCCTCTGGTTTCCCCATGGAAGCACCAGTACCTGTCTGCATATCTGAGTGTGTTTAAAGTATATTCACAGGAGCTAATGCCTGGTGAGATCATGGAAATCTGCAAAAGAGGAGATGGGTGGGCAGAGCTTGAGACAAGGCCAGGGCACTGGACAGCCTATGCCAGGGTCACTGCCTGGAGCTATGGCTCAGACCCACATAGTAAGGTGGGAGAACTTGGTAGGCACTTTGCTGTGCTGGGAGACTTGCCTCATGGGCATCAAAAACTAGAGTGCCTTAAAAATAGATTCCCAAGCTCACACCTGTAATCCAGGCACTGTGGGAGGCTAAGGCAGAAGGATTCCAAATTCAAGCCAAGATTCCCCATTTGATGAAACACTGTCTCTCAAAAATAAAATAAAAATGAAAAGCACTGGGGATACCTCAACATACCCTGCACTCATTCCTCAGAATGAATGAATGCATGAATGAATGAGCACCTAGTTGCCTTCTTCTTTTTGACCCACCTACCAAGGTCCCATCTCAGAACCTCTAGGCTCCTGCTGCAAATTTCAACTCACCAGAGCATGGGATAATGCCTTGTGAGGAGGTGCTTAGAACTCAGTCATAGGTCTGGGGTGCTGTGCAGTGGTAGGGCACTTCCCTAGCATGCATGAGGCCCTGAGTTCCATCCCCAGCACCACCAAAAAACAGAGTTCAATCAGAAAATTCCAGGGGGACTTGATGCATGACTATAATCCAAGCAATTGGGAGGCTGAGGCAGAAGGAGCATAATTTCAAGGGCAGCCTCAACTAAACAGAGGGGTTCTGTCACAAACAAATAGAAACTACCCAAACTACCAGGGAATCTTTGCTCCTCATGGAAAGGGTCCTAGCTAAAGCATAGAAATAGAGATATTCCCGGGAGGAAGGAATGCCTGGAGAGCAAACAGGGAAAAGAAGGGTAATAAGGCCCTGGGCCTATGGCTTGATAATCAGCCTGCTTCGTAGACTGGAGGCCAGTGGGCCTGATGAAAGCCACAAAAGAGATGAGGCCTTCCCTCTCCTGCTCCCTTACAGTCCCATCTTTTGAAACCTGGAGCTCCTTTTCCACCAGGCAGGTAAGGCAACAACATGCTCCCTGAAGCCAAGCGCTTTGCTGACTTGCAGTGAGGGGAGCAGGACTTCCGGCCCCACCTGGGCAGGTCTGGAAGCTGGCCTGAGGGCCTGGTATGCTGGCTGCAGGGAGTTAAGCACCTGCCAGAGCCAAATGGACAGCATCTTTGTCTCCTCTCCAGGGACCCTGCTCACCATGCAGGTCCTTGAGTTCTCCCCGATGAAGGAATCCCGCAGCACCTGAGTCAGCTTGCTCTCACGGAACGGGGTATGAGCTTTGTTCTGGCCCAGAGCCCTGATGCATTCCTGTGGACATTGGAAACCACTGAGGCTGCTTCTCTCCTCCATGTTGCCTACTTGCTCCCCTCCCAGCTGTCCTCCAGGCCACTCAGCCCTAGAGCCAGCCCCTTCTACCTTCAGGGCCAAGAGACTCTTGTTGATCTCAGCGCCCTCCATACGGGTCTGCCAGTCAGCACTAGAGGTGTCTGCACCTCGCTCGTTTCCTGCCAGATCCACCAAAGAGAACTTGCCATGCACCTTCCCTTTGGTTCGAAGAAGAATCTGGAAGCAGGCATGAGAGCGGGAGGAGTTGGAGTTGGCAAATGTCTGTCCAGAGGTCCTGTGGCAAAAGAAGGCAAAGAAAGATTATGAGCTTCTGGGGCTACCAATCTCTAGGGCACCCCAGAATCTAAGCTACCCTAGTCCTCACTTCTTTGGTAAGGGAGGGATACTAGATAGGATTCTAGGAATCTTGTGTCTTTTGTCCCAGACTTCTTTTCTGCCCTCCCTGAACAGCAGCTCTCTCTCCAGCTCTGGACTAATGGAGCTATAGCCCATTACTTCCAGTCCACAACAGATCCAAAAGTCCCAACTTCCACTGCAGAGGGAGGAAAAACAAGGAGAATCCCATGGATGCTAGAAGCATGCTTGCAAATAAAGCAGCTTTGACTCAGTTCCAATGGGCCTCTGGACTGGATCATCAGCTTTACTGAGACGCTTTCAAAAAACAGAGAACCATACAGACCTTAGGAGAAACAGCAGTATGTGGAGCGAGAAATAACCTGAAAGCCACTGTCACCTGAACTAGACATTAAAAGATGATCCCTCCCCCTTGCCCATACTCTGACCTGCAGGCACTGCCCATGTCGATCATCTTGATGACGTCATCTGCACAGTTCACCAGGTGCTCCTGCAGCCCCACCACCTGCACCTGTTGCTTGCCATCCTCTAGCACCCGCAGCTTGGCCTTCTTATTAAGCAGGTCAAACAGCTGTGGCCAGGCAAGGGGCATCAGTAAGCCTAAGGTCACAGATGCTGAGTGCCCTGCCAATCTTCCTACAGACCCTCCCTGACTTAGACAAGGACTGGCAGTAAGAAAGCCAGAGAGAAAACAAGCTGATAGATACCACTCTACTCGAGACCTAAACCAATTTGCTTCTGTTTGATTCAGCTCTGCTATTTCACTAGCTGCCTAGGCAAGTTGTTGCCCAACCTTAGCCTGTTTCCCAGCTGTAAAGTTGAGACAAATGCTTAGAATCACGCTTAGCACATATCCTGTTGGTGGTAATATTAGCGTTTTTTTTTTTTTTTTTTTTTTTTTTTTGTCTTTTTGAGACAGGGTTTCACTATGTAGTTCAGGCTGGCCTTGAACTCACTTTGTAGCTCAGGCTGGTCTTAAATTCACAGTGATCCTCCTGTCTCAGCCTCCCCGAGTTACTGGGATTACAGGTATGCACCACCATGCCTGGCAGCTATTTTTATTACTTAGGTTCTGCTCTAGGAAAGGCAACTCTGCAAACATGCAGAGAAGTAGAGGGAGAACATGAGAATGTACAGAGCCAGGGGAAGCTCCTGAGGGATGTGGGTGAAGGGAAGCCAGGCATACCCAAGGTGCCTGTCTGAGAAGGAGCTGAAAGGACTATTGCTGTGTGCACTGGGCTTGCAGTGAGGGCAGCAGACCATAGCATAAGAAGCCTGCTACACACACCAGGGGCAATTGCTCCATAGGTCCTACTGCTAACAGGATGTCTGTGCCTACAACTTCTAGTCAATGGCAAGGTTTTAGGAAATGGGGGCCCTCTGTTTTCCACCTTCCCATTGTAGATCTCGAAGAATGTTACGTAGACTTCCAAACCCAGGTTCCGGTATCGGGGCTGATTCTTCAGGAGGAAGACGTCCTCAGCTGAGGGGAGAGTCTGATAAGTGACCATGCTTTTCTGCCCAAACCCAGCGCACAGAATACACTACTTACAGGCCATGGCATAGATCCCTTTGGATGCATTCTGGGATTTGCTAGCCAGGTCTCCAACCATAGTCTACGAAAGGAAAGGAAGAGGTAGATGATTGTAATCAAGGCCTTTGGCTCAGGCCAGACCACTACTGGTTCTAGTGCCACTGTGGGCCACACCAGATTCTGGACCAGGCATAGAGAGACAGGTGATGGGGCTCCTGCTTTCTAATTTTGTTTACTTGTTTGGTTTTCGCAACACAGAGTCTCACTATGTAGCCTGGGCTTAACATCACACTAAATGGACAAAAACTGAAAGCTTTCACTCTAAAATCAGGAACAAAACAAGGATGTTCCCTGTCTCCACTCTTATTCAACATAGCCCTGGAAACTTTAGCTGCAGCAATTAGACAAGAGAAAGAAAGGAAAGGAATAAAGACAGGGAAGGAAGAAGTTAAACTATCATTATTTGCAGATGACAGGATACTCTACTTAGAAGACCACCAAAAGACTAGAACTCTACCAAAAGACCACTAGATTCTTTGCAGATGACATGATACTTTACTTAGAAGACCCCAAAAACTCTGCCAAAACACTTTTGGATTTGATAAGCAAATTCAGTAGTGGAGCTGGATACAAAGTCAACACTCAAAAATATGTAGTCCTGGGGCTGGGGATTTAGCTCAGCGGCATAAGCGCCTGCCTTGTAAGCAGGCAGTTGTGAGTTCGATCCCTGGTACCAATAAAAACGAAAAAGACCAAAAAAAAAAAAAAAAAAAAAAAAAAAAAAAATGTAGTCCTGGGCTGGGGATTTAGCTCAGTGGCCTAGGTGGTGCCTGATTGGCAAGCACAAGGTTGTAAGTTTGATCCCTGGTACCAAAAATTAAAAAAAAAAGGTAGCCCGGGCTGGCCTCAAACTCATGGTGATCCTCCTGCCTCAGCTTACCAAGTGCTGGGATAACAGGTATGCAGGAGCATGCTCAGCTCAAAGGGCTTTTCTTCAAGAAACTCACTGTTTTCTTTTTTTCATTTTTAGAGGTGGAGCTAGTGATTAAAGCCAGGTACTTTGCACTGACCTACATCCTTAGCCCTTTTTTGTACTTTTAATTGCTAAATTGCCTGGGCTGGTCTTGAACTTGCAATCTTTCTGCCTCAGCCTCCTAGGGTGCTGGGATTACGGGATTGTGCCACCATGCCCAGCTTGTCTCTAAAAAGGGAGACCCAGTATGGCAGAGGAAGCCTTTTTCTGCCAGGTGCAAATACTCACATGAGTTTTTCCACTTCCTGTCTGCCCATATGCAAAACAAGTTGCTTTTCCTCCTTCAAAAATTGTCTGGAGCAGTGGCCTTGCTGTGAACCTAGGAGAGAAAAATGGAGTACAGGTAGAGAGTGTTTGTCCAGTTAATCCTTTGTATCTAAGGATGACTGGTTCAGGGATCACCCCCAAACCCAACTCATCAGTGTACAAGTTCCTTATATAAAATGACATAGTGTTCATACCAACATACCTCCTCCTGTAACTGAACCATCTCTAGATTACTTTTTTGTTTTCATAGTATTGGGAATTGAAGCTGGAGGCTTCATACTGTGATACATGCCTATCCCTTTTTCATTTAAATTTTGAGACAGGATCTCATTAAATTGTGTAGTCTAGGGTCAAACTTGCTATGCTCCTGCTTCAGCTTTTCTGCAGGCCAGGATTACAGGTGACTCACAACTTAGTTTAGATTACTTATTATACCTAATGCAATGTAAATGTAGTTGCTATATGGTATTGTTTAGACTAGAAAAACGACCCCCCACAAAATCTGCATATGTTCAGTACAGACACAATCTTTTTTTTCTTCTAATATTTTTGATTTGGTTGTCCGAATTCATAGATTAGGAACCTATGGATACAAGAATCAGTATCTTCCCAAAATGTGTTCCCTAGACCACAGTCCTTCCACTGCAGAGCTTCCAGGATCTTTGATTTTTCTTCTAATCACAGCACTCCTCTCCTGCCTCAGTGATCTCATCTGTCTCAACCCTAGGAACAAATCCACATATTTTGAGCTGACTTGGGGAGCAAGCTGATGGCCCGCATTGTACACCATTCAGCCCCTCCTCTCTCCAGAGGTAAGAGATGAAAACCTCAGCTGTGATAATGTCCAGCCTAAAACACACTACAAGGAGTAGGGAAAACTTATGCCTAAAATATTTTATGCTTTGTGGGTTACATACAGTCGGTCACAATTTTTCTCTCCTCTCTTTTTGAAAAGCCCTTGAAAAACATAAAAGCATTCTTGGCTTACACAAAGGGGTCATGAGCCAGATTTGGCCTATAAGCCAGTTTGTCACCTTCTGTTTCATAGTAGTGCTGTCCAACAGAACTTGCTGTCTAAGGACAGCCTGTGCCACATGCAGCTACTTATTACATGAAACAAGACCAGTGTAACTAAGGAGCGGAATGTTTAATTTTATTTAATTCTTATTTACATTTTAGTGAAGCTATTGGGTGCGCACTGTGCAGAGCAGCTCTGGAGTTACTTGAGTTTGCTAATCAAGGGGTGGGTACATTGCCCTTGAGCCCTAGAGCCTGCCTGCCACCCTGAGTAACAGTGATCTACTTACTCACGATCCACTCAAGGGCCACTCAGCTGCTGAGGGGAAGAGGCTGAGAAACAGGGACATTCCTGGTGCTGGGAACCCAAGCTGCCCCAAGACATGAGGTCAGGCATGGATATGAATTGAGCCCCACACCAAAGAAGGAGCAAAAGAGAGGAAAAAAGAGGCAATGGACTAACCTGTAGACAACTTCATTTGAAGCTGTTTCATCAAATGCAAAATCAAAACAGAATGTCTGATTCTCCAGATACTTTGTTAAGTCCACTTTTAATTTAGGTTCATGCACCAAAAGAAGACATTTGCTTGGAATAGAAATCACATCAATTTCTTTTCTGGCCAATTCTGCAGGAGGAAAGTATTTCAGGGGCCACTTCTTGAATACAGGGTACTCTCAAGTCTGAAGCCCCTTCCTGATTCAGTGGCTTACCTTGTTTATTTAGTGGCCGTTTCCTAACACAGACACAGATCCTGTGCTCTTCTATCTGCAAGAGGACGAGAAGAGACAACTACAGGGAAAAGAATCGGAGTACTGCACGCCCTCCAATTTTCTCAATTTGATGTTTATAAGAGGTTTCAGCATTATTTTCACAACTATTAGCAAGAGCCCAGCCAACTCACAATAGATGGGGTGGGGCAGTTTGTAGACCAGATCTCCCACCTAGACCTCACGGCTCCAGCCCATCAAAGAGTATGCTAAAAAAGGAGGGAAGGTATTTCTTGGGATGCTGACATATGCTGTAACTCCAGCCCTTGGGAGGCTTAGGCAGGAGGATTATGAGTTCCTGGCCAGAGTGGACTATAGAGCAAGATCCTGCCTCAGAAAAGCAAAACAAACTAAAAGGTAGGGTGTATGGCTAGGAGTTCTAGTAATGGTAATATTTAGTTTATGAGAGATCTTGGGTTCAGCACTAACATGCATGCATCCATGCATGCACACAGACATGGGAAAAAACTCACATCTCTACATACTTGTAAAAGACAAGTTTTCTGTCCCTCAATTCTGTACCTATTCAGGAAAGAGGGTACATGTCATTTAATTTACTTACAGGATCAATCATAGTAAGCGGATGACATTCCAGAGTAGCCCGAAATTCTTTAATCATCCGGGCAAACTCCCAGTTTGGAAAGTTGCTATCATATTCCTGTTTGAGACAAGAACAAAAAATGGCACTGTCAAAATATAAATGCGCACAGACTCAGTGCTAAGTGGCAGTGACAAAAGTTCTGCCCTGTGCTGGTTCAAGGCTGAGAAACCAAGTTCAAAGCCCAGGGCAGCAGAGATCCACAGGGGAGCCCAGGATGCACACCACCACCCTAGGAGGTGCACAAGGGTCATTCTTCTGCACCTTGGAAGGGTTTCAGCAGGGTGTCTATTATAATTGCCCCTACCCTGCAGTATGTGTAGCTAATGGTAGGGAGAGAAAAGACACGACTGTTCAGCCCAGCACCAGTGTGTGTGCTGTGACAGCTTGCTCATGGACACCTGGCACCAAGTACTGCTCATCTAAGGGCATTTAGATAAATTTCTTTTTCTTTGTTTTGGTACAGGGATCAAACTTAACATTTCTTGCTTGCCAGGCAGGTGCTTACCTGCTGAGCTAAATTCCCAGCCCTAGATAAATTTCTGAATTTTCTGTGTTCTCTAAATCCTGATGAGAAATTGAACCGCTAGAGGGTGAAACTGCAGCCCTGACTGTACTCCTTCTACCCATCAGACTTTGGTGATGGCTGCCTGTCCTAAAGGCCTTGCCAAGGATCCCACGGTACCTGGGCTCGCTTCATTCTCATTTCAGAATTCTGGGCCTTCTTCTCTTCCCGTTTATTCTTCATCTTTTCCATTTCTCTCACAATACAAGATTTCCTCCGAACTAGGGAAAAAAGGAAGCCCAGTGTTTATCTGCCATGTCAGTTGGCTCTTGCTGAATCCTGGGCCTTTCCAGGGAATAGGCCTTAAATAGATCTTTGCCTTTACATCGCTGTATGCAAGAAGAGTCAACAGGTGTGACTACTGTACATCCATGAAGTAATAATTTGCCTAATGTAAGATCAGAGTCATGACATCAGCACACCAATTTTGTTTTTTTTTTGTTTTTGTTTGTTTTGCTTTGTCGTTCAGGCTGGCGTCAAACTTGCGGCAATTTTCCTGCTTCAGCTTCCCAAGTGCTGGGTACTGAGATTACAGATATGTGCTACCACACCCAGCAGCACTTCAGTTCTGATTCACACTATATTTCTGTGGCAATTTTCTCAATAATCAAAAAAGCTCAAACAGCCTTGCTTGGTTTCAACTCACTCTGGGGCTGTTCTTCAGGTGTTTGTTGATAGCCTGCCTGTAATAATACCTCAGATACTTCAGAAGGCTTCTCTCAGTCTTGTGAAAGACTGAGCCCAGACTACTGTGAAAGCCAGAGTCCATGGCCACAAGAAACATGCCCTCAAGGTGATATAGGGCTTGAACTCAGGTCCCCAGGCAGGCTAGGCTTAGGACAGCTGTTAATTGTCCTGTACTGGAAGCAAGGCCACAGATAGCACGTCTACCTGAGTTCACAGGGTGTGCAGAGGAGCTGCCTCGGATGGAGTGGACTTGCTCTTCCACCTCCTCGTTGATCATCGTCAATGGTATTTCAGCCACTGCAGGGTAGGAGGGCCTAAAGGGGCGAGCTGTGGGGGAACGAGAGTTACTGGAAGGGCAGGCACACCACAGCTGTCCTTGGGTAGGCCAACTTCCTGCCCACTGAGCAGGGACTCAGGGTCCTGCAATATGAACAGTTTGGTTTCTGTTACTCAGCCTACCACCCTCTCTGCAAGGCCCAGTTGCTAGATGAAAATATCTTAAACAATGTGTGAATTGCTTAGCATGTAAGCAGGTTTCTTGGGCCAGGTCTCTCTGACTTTCTCCCTACTGCTGGGATCACAGGGCGTGTACCACCAGGCTTGGCTACTTCACATTACCTTTTTTTTTTTTTCTTTGAGGCAGGATTATATGGTTCAGACTAGCTTTGAGCTCACTTTCTTTGAGCCTGGCCTCGAACTTTCAAGGATGCTCCTGCCTCAGCATCTCAAATGCTGGGATTATAGGCATGCACTACCATGCCCGGTTTACATTATCTATTAAAGGTTGATAAATACTTCAATTAAAATTAATTCCTTTTTAAATTTTTTTTTTGAGGCAGGGTCTTGCTATGTAGTTTAGGCTGGACTTGAACTAACTGTGTAGCCCAGGGTGGCCTTAAACTTCCAGTGATCCTCTTGCCTAGGACTACAGGCACTACCATTACACTTAGCTTAAAATAATTTTAAAAACTCAGCCGGGATAGCGGCACATGCCTGTAATCCCAGAACTGGGGGCAGGATTGCTGGGAGCTTGAGGCCAACCTGAACCACAAAGTGAGTTGAAGGCCAGTCTGAATTACATAGTAAAACTTTGTCTCAAACATACACCACACACACACATCCACACACTTGGTGAAGAATCAATTCTATTCATATGAAGTATAAAAGGAGAAAAAGTTAATTTACGCTATTAAAAAAATCAGGATTGTAGAAGGGCCCTCGCTAGGGGGGAATTGGTGCTGCTAGCGGTGATTATGAACTGAAGCATGTCTGAAGGGTACTTTTAGGGTGCAGCTAATATTCTTAGCCAGGTGTTACATGAGTGTGTTTATTTTGTGAAAACTAAACTACATAAAAGTTCAAGGATATGTACATTTTCTTGTGTATATGTGCCTCTGTATACAAAATAGTGTTGTAACTGAGGTTTCTTTGTTGTTGCAGTACTAGAGATCAAACGTAGAGCCTTGCACGTGCTACCATTAGGCAATATCCCCAGCTCTTTCTGTTTTTTATTTTGAGACAGTGTCTTGCTAAATTGCCCGGGTTTGACTTAGGAGCCTCCCAGCGTGCTGGAATTATAGGCATGGGCCACCACACTTGGCTAACTGAGTTTCAGAAAATAAAATGAGATGATTTTCACACAGACACAAGTGTTTGTGCAGCAGTCATCATAGTATTGGACCCAGGGAGTGGAGGTATCGTAGGACATTCTGGTACAGGCATGGAGCCTGAAACAGAGAACATTCATTACTCACCAGCAGTTGGAAACTGCTTGCGAGAATTGTTGGACACAGGCAGCTCTACCTCCATATCATTCTCCTGAGCAGTGATTTGAGCCTCTGGGACAGTGAACATGCGAGTAGAGCGGCTTCGGAGACCTGGAGAACCAAAGGAAGTCAGAGCTGCGTGGGGCAGGAGCAGGATAGACAGGACAGATCTACAAGGTAGCTGAGTCCCTGCCACTGGAAAGAAACCCAACTTACCATTCCTTCTACTCAAGGGAAGGAACTAAGACTAAGTATCAGTAACCCCCGAAATTATTTGCACACATTCTATAAACCCAGGAGTTTCTAGGGTAACACTATCTCTCACAAGTGTGCTTGTCTTAAGTAAATGGAAGGACCCATGGCAAATCTGAAATCATTCTGTGGAGATGGGCCTTATTCCAAGTCCTTGAGAACAAGTATCACTGACCCTAACAGCAGCTATACCTGCCACACTACTACCTTGACTTACAATGCTTTGAATTATGAGTTTTCAACTTTATCGTGGTATGAAAGCAATGCACATTCATTAGAAATGAAAGTGTAGCCAGAAGTGGGAGTGCACACTTAAGGAGGCTAAGGCAGGAGGATTGCCAAGGATTTGAGGCCACGCTGGGTTATATAGTGAATTCAACGCCATTCAAGAACAGTCTGAATTACATGGTAAACCCTGTCTCAAAAAAGAAAAAAAAAATAAAAAAGAAAGAAAAGAAAGAAAGAAAGAAAAGAAAAAGAAAAAGAAGAAAAAACTTCTTCTGAGCCAACAATCCTAGAGATTGAACCCAGGACTTTCACACTGACCTATACCCCCGGTTTTTTAATTTATACTTTTAAAAATTTTTCTGAGATAGAATATTGCTAAATTATTAAGTTGCTCAAGCTGAGCTTGAAAGCAATATAATAATTCTTTTCCTTCTTCCCTTTCTTTTTGGTACCAGGCATTGAACTCACAATCTCATGCTTGCTAGGCAGGCGCTTAGGCCACTGAGCTAAATCCCCCGCCCTTTCCCTTTTTTTGAAATAGGGTCTTGCTATGTAGTTTAAGCTGGCCTTCAACTAACTATGAACCCCCAGGTGGTCTATTTTCAACTTGAAGCAATCCTCTTGTCTCAGCCTACCAAGTGCTGAATTACAGGTGTGTGAAACTATACCTGGCTACTGTGGGTTTTTGAGATAGGGTCTTACTATGTAGGTTAGGCTGGCCTTGGGCTATGTACCCCAGGCTGGCTTTGAACTCATGGTGATCCTTCTGCCTTGGCCTCCCAAGTACTGGGATTATAAGTATAGGCTACCACACCCAGTGATTCCATGTATTAAAGTGATACTTTCAATTTACAATTAGTTTATCAGGACATAACCCACTGTAGACTGAAGAACATCAGTCATCCATTTCTTTTATAAGTAGCAACAATTATTGTAATTTTCCTGAATAACAAGGGCATGGTAGCTCATGCCTGTAATTTCAGTACTTCAGAGGCAGACACCAAAGAAATAGCATATATTTGAGGTTACATAGTGAGCTTGCAAGGCTCGGGATTTAGCTAAGTGGCATAAGCCCCTGCCTTGCAAGTGTGCGGTCGTGAGTTCGATCCCTGGTACCGATAAAAAAGAAAAAGATAAAACAAACAAACAAACATAATGAGCTTGCAGCCAGGCTGAACTATACAGTAAGACAATGCCTCAAAAACAATAAATAAATGGCCAGACATGGTGGTACATAGCTGTAATTCCAGTGCTTGGGTGGCTGAGGCAGGAGGACAGTGGGGTTACATAGTGAACTCAACTGAACTATTTAAGGAGATCCAGTTTCAAAAACAAAACAAGGGCTGGGGACATAGCTCAGCTGGTAATTGTGAGGTCTCAAATTCGATTCCTAGTACCAAAAGAGAAAGAGAGAGGAAAAAAAGAAAACCAAAACATAGGAAAACAGGCTGAAGATATAGCATGGTGGCTATAACATGTTCCAGGTCCTGGTTTCAATGCAAAAACCAAACACAAAGGTCTGCAGGGCCAGGAGTATAGCTCAGTGGCAGAGGAAATGATTGTTTTTTGAGACAGGGTCTCACTATGTAGCCTAGGTTGATCTCAAACTCCCAGTGATCCATCCTTGCGCCTCAGCCTCCCAAGTGCTGGAATTACAGGCATGCGCCACTATACCTGGCCAGAGCAGGTGAGTACTGGCCTGTATGAGATGCTGGTGCAAAGGAGTTGCACCAATACTCTCTGCAGACATGCGTGTGGAATGGGATACTTGCTATTCCCATCTCTCCTGCAGGTTCTTAGGGTATAACCAGCACCGGGCAAGACCCAGTCCAGGCCTTGCTCAAGCCTGTACCAGTGCTGTCTTCCACCCAAGCCCCCAGAATCAAAAGCTCCAGCCATGTACACTCTGTGCTTTTCGGGCAGCTGAAGTTACATTCAGTCCTTACAGTCACAGTGTACGGTAGCTAGCCAAAGCAGGTTCATGCTGTCTCTGCAGAGCAATCCCAATTTTCTGAGACTATGGGCACAGCTGCAACTCTTACTGGTCCCAAGCCCTTGATTCCATCATACTACGGACTGCCTTTCTAAACAGCTAAGTTGCCCATTCTTCCCAGAGCCTCACTCAGGGAACAGTGCTCCCCTGCAGAACAAGTATGCTGGGGCCTGGTTTTCTCTCCCCAGAAGCGGGCTCCAGTTTCTAGAGGGTAAGACTTTTAGGTGAGTAAGCCAGTTTCTCAAATGCATCGGGGACCTCAGAGCTTAGCTGTGCACTACACTGCTCCTTAGAGATGCTCAGGACCCACAGTAGAACTCAGCCTACACAGTGACCTGTTAAACTGGAATAATATGTCTACTTTATAGTTTCCACAACAACTCAGAGCCCCAGCCTCACCAGAAGTCCATTTACCTTCTTTTGGAGTGGGAATTTTGGAGTTGACCGATCTGCGTCTCTGTTTCTGAAAATCAAAACAGACAACTATAATATGGACTTTATCAACTCTAAAGGAGCTATCCTGGGCCCATATGCTATGCAGTACCAAAAAACAAGTCAGCAAATCAGCAAAAAGCAAAGGCATGATTTCTCTGGGGCTTCAGCTATGACCTGATGACAATACCTACCTGGAAAGTTACATTCTCCTGCAGGGGCAGATTGTCCTTTGGGTACAAAGGAGGAAGCTGTAAGAGTTCTGGGTTTATTGTAGCCACATCGTCAAAATCAATCTGCAAGGAAGAAGAGCTTCAGTGAAGCAACATTCAGTCCTATAGCATATGCAATCACTGCCATCCCTAGATTTAGCTTTATCAAGCTTAAATTCCACAAAGTACTGACAGTTATAAAACAGTCATTTAAGGATTTACCATTGGCGTTAGATGGATATGGGTGTTTGATTTCCAAGCCAAAACTCAATCTCAAGAGTGAAAATAAAATGAAGAGAAGGCAAATAGGCAGGCAAAAAGGCAGGCCACAGAAGAACCAGACTGCCTGACTCTTCTGTCTTACTGCGAGTGGGGTCCTGCTGGGCACAGCCTCTGAACACCTCCTGCTGGCTGACTTGAAGAGGAAACAAGTTGTCTGGTGACAGTCAAAAGAGAGGGCCTCCAGGATCTTATAGGGAAAAACAAGTTCCCGACAGCTGCTACCTAACCCTAAGCCTACCTACATTTTCTATTGGCACAGACATTTCCCACCTAGTCAGTTTTCTGTCACGCCCAAAATGAGGTCACAATTCTAGGTTTACATCATCAGAGTCCTCCTGCAAACATTTAGAAACAAAACTTCACCAGCATAACCTTACAGCAGGTTTAATACACTAAACTGAGCTGGGTGTAGTAGCATGGGCCTATAATTATTCAGTACTCTGGGAGGCTAAGGCAGGAAGATCACAAATTTAGTGAGACTACATCAAAAAAAAAAAAAAAAATTTAATGTGGAGCGTGGTGGTTCATGCCTGTAATCCCAGCACTCGGGAAGCTGAGGTGGGAGGATCGTTGCGAGTTCGAGACCAGCCTTGGCTACAAAGTGAGCTCAAGGTCAGCCTGAACTGCATAGCGAGACCCTGTCTCAAAAAAAGACAAAAAAAAAATTTTTTTTTAAGTCTGCAGATGTAGCTCAATACACAGGGGTTCAATCCTCAATACTGCCAAAAATAAACAACCCCCACCAAACCGCATTAGGGTAGTAACTGTGATAGAGTCCATTCCTGGCATGCATGGGACTGCGTTTGATTCCTAGCATAAACACAAACACATTTCCCTCCAAATTAGCCCCAACTTGTGTATGTTTTAAAATGTGACTGGGCTGAACCACATACTCCGGGTTGAGGGCTTTACCACTTATATATGCAACTTTTTTTTTTCGGACAGGGTCTTATCATATAGTCCAGCCTGCCCTTGAACTTGCGTTGTAGCCCACGCTGGCCTCTAAGTTGCAGCAATCTTCTTGCCTCAGCCTAGTGCTGGGATTACAGGAGCTTCCCTAGTGCTTGGCTCACATAAACAACTTTACTGATTAACTGATTTTCAGAGCTACAGCTCCAACCTAAAGTCTCATGCATACTAGGCAAGCATTTTACCACTGAACTATACCCTTAGTTCAATTTATACTTTTTTCAACTTATACTTATTAATTGGCTTATTCAAACATTTATTAGGCACAAGTTAAGATAGAAACATGCAGAGGCTGGGGATCTAACAAGATACAGATAATAGATAGAAAAATAAGATTTTTTTTTTTTTTTTTTGAGACAGTCTTGCTATGTAGAGCAGTTTGACCTTGAACTCATGGCAATCTTCCTGCCTCAGCTTCCTGGCATTGGGATTACAGGTATGCACCACCATGTCCAGTAAGAGATATATTTCTAAATGTACAAAACAAATCCCACACAAAATTGCACACCTGTAATACCAGCACTCTGGAAGTCTACAGCAGGAAGATCTCAAGTTCAAATCCAGCCTGAGCAACTTAGTGAGACCCTGTCTCAAAATGAAAAATAAAAAGGAAGCATCCCACTCGGGAGCCCTTCTGTCTCCCTCTCAGATAGAAGCTTTCTTTCTCTCAATACATATTTCTGCTTTTAACCGCCATCATTCCTAAAATTAAAAAAAAAGAAAAAAGGCCTGGTGATGTAGCTCAGTGCAAAGGCTCTGAATTCAATCTTAGTACCACAAAACCAAACAAAACTAAAATAAAAACTAGATCACAAGGAATTGGTGCCTTTCAGGAACCTCTTACTTCTTTAGGTGCAGATACTGGAAAGTATTCAATTCTTGTATTTTTCAAGTATGCCATCCAAATATCTGCATAGCCAGTGGTGGTGCTGTGCTGAGTAGACCCTTTCCATGAGCTATCTCAAGAAGTTCCATGAGAGAGGGTCCAAGGTGCATCCCATTCACCTCTGTATTCCTACACCCAACACACTATCCAGAATTTGAAATTCAGTTCAAAAGGGTTCCCTGAATAAGTCCTCACAACAACCCTGTGAGGCAGCTATTATCAACATCTTTTGCTTTATAGAAGAGGAAATTAAATTTCTAAGAAAGGTAAAAACATTCCCAAGAACACATAAAGCTTAGATGGTATGGACTAAAATGCAGGTTTTCATGCACTGTCCAGCACTTTTCACACTATAATGCTTTCAGAATAAAAATGCCTTCTCAGATCTCTCATCTGCTCAAATCATTTCAAGGCTCCCCACTCCATACAGAAGAAAGCTAAATATCTTAGGTATGAGGAAGAGCCTCCAGTCTCTTCTCTGAAACTGCCCTGCAAAGTACCCTGAGCCTTCCAAAAGGATTTGCTGGCCTGTAGCCAGCTGTTTTCACTGGATCCTATGTGTAACATCCCACTGTTTTACCTAAACCTTCACACTCCACCCCACCCTCAAGAAACAGCCATGCTGAGCTGCTCTGGCTCTTCTGTGCCATTCATCACAAGTTGCCTTATTATTTGGTGTTGCAGAAACATACTTTTTTGTTGCTATGTTTTCCTATGTTATCCAGCCTGGCTCTTGAGCTTGCTATCCTTTTGCCACAGCCTCTCAAGTACCGGAATTACAGGTGTCCGCCACCACATGCAGCTCCAGAAACATACTTTTGTCTCTTCAAATGGATTACTGATTTTGCTATTCAAACTGATATTACAGGCTTAGATAAATGAGCAAAGTTTTAGGATTCTGTGAGTTTGCTTTCTACAAACACACAAGAACCTTTTGATTACTTAAATTTATTTTTATTTTTGGTACTGAGAATCGAACTCAGAACTTTGTGCTTGTCAGGCAGCGCAGTGCTGCTGAGCTATATCCCTGGCTGATTACTTCAATTTAGAACAAGCTTGACTAAAAAAAATCCTAATGCATCCCAAAAGAATTACCTACAACTGGGAAGGACAGCACAGCATCAAAAACTAGGTTCCTAGGGGTTCCATTTCCAAAGACCCTTTGTACATGAAAGTTTCCCCCCTATCTTATACTGATGATTGAACACAGGAGCTTGCACGGAGCCACATGCTCAATCCTTTTAAATTTTTAACAGGGTCCCGGTGAGTTGCCAGGGAAGCCTTAAGCTTGTGATCGTCCTACTCAAGCAGCTGGTTATAGTTGTGCCCCACCACATCTGCTACCAGAAGCATCTTCATAGAACCTACCTCTTTGCCCTTTGTGGCACCTCCTTCTGTCCATTCCACGGAAACACAGGATCTCTCCAAGTTTACAGTTCTTACAGTGGCACTGTGAATTAAGCCTATAAAAGACTAGAGTTACCTGTGTCCTGAGAGCTTCATGTTTAGGATTTACTTCCTTTTAGGATTCCACAGAGATTCCCAATGTGGAGTTTACCTAGGAAGGGGCAGCTGATGTTTTTTCTCTTTCTTTAAAACAAGCAAACACTAAGAGAGAGAAGTCACAAATCTCGTGGAGCTTCAGCCTTAGAACATCCCACAGTGAGGTGTGCAGGGAACAGATCTTAAAACCGAGCATCTGAGATAAAGTTACATACACACACACACACACACACACACACTCCATTCAAATGAACGCCCGCAATGGAGTGCAGATATATCTGACCAGAGGAGTCACTACAGTGGGATAGAGATGTTCCTAAACTCGGCAATGAAGATCTGGACCCCTTAAATTTCCCTAACCCACTTCTGGAGCGCGGATCTGGCCATTCTCCTAATGACATGAGTATTAGGCCTGGTATAGCTGTAGGAGTAACTCGGAGCCAGGCCATTTGGGAACGGGGCTGTACTCTCCGCCGCCTCGGAGATCATGGGTACCCTTTTGCCTTAGGATGCCGCCTCTCACCATTACTGCGTTGAATCTTGATGGTGAGACCGGGAAACAAGCGAGACTGAAGCGATGACTCCATTGGTAATCGGAGGTCCGCGGGGGAAGAGAAATACAAAATACCAATAAACCACAAATCTGCTAGGACAGCTCTAACGCCGCGTAAACCGTCGCAGTTTAAATCCCGCGCGTCAGCCCTCCCGTAACGTCATCACGCTGCCTTCCACTAGTCAGCGAAGCCCCGCGGAGCCTTCTGGGACACGTAGTCTCTGGGCCGTCATCGAGCTCCGGTCCCCCACCCCCACCCCCACCCCCCACTTGGCTGGCCACTCTCCCGGGCTGTGGCTGCCGCGAACTTCGCCAGGGTTGGGAGGCTGTTGGCTAACAAAGCTTCTATAGGGAGTGTGATTGGGCTTTCCAAACTTAAGCACTTATTGGCACAGTGTCTTCGGAGGACTCTTGGTTTCGTTTTTGCACAGTGGGCGGGCATGTTTCCTCATTGCAGAAGTAATTTAGAAAATGCTTCAGAGCGCGGTGTAGTAGACCAGGACTCAGGCGGAGGCAGGAGGGACACCACGAGTTGGAGGCCAACCTGAACTACATGGTGAGATCCTGTCTCACTCGCCCGCCACAAAATGTTTGGAAGACGTTAATTTAACAGATTGCTGTCTACCACGTGCAAGACACGCGTAAGTTGGAGATAATAGTGAATTCTAAGACATAGTTCCTGTTGTTGATCAGACATTTCTGAGATGAATAAAACGTAACAACATAACAAAACGAAGTAAGTTACAAATGCCAGGTGACAGGTTTTTAGCCACATAAATCTGCCAATCATCATGGCAGAGGTCCAACATGGTGAGGAGGCCATAAAGAGCCACCTTATCAGACTTCCTCCAATGCCCCAGACCCAAAATAGACTTCCTGCCTTTCCTTCCCGGGCGCCAAAGACGTCCCTAGATAAGAAGTCACTCCTGCTCCAGGTCACCAGCTAGTTTAGCACCACCCCAATGAGAGTTAATATAAGCAGCTTCATCGCTTTATTAGAGCTGAGAGAGCCTCTACATTTCTCTGCAGCCTTTCCCAGTGTACTCTATCTCCTTGTTATCTCTCCTGCACTGCTTCAGGTTGAGTGCCAAAAAATACTCAATCACTAGGTGTGGTGGCACATACCAGTAATCTCAGAACTTGGTGTGCAGGGAACAGGGAGGATCACTGTGAGTTCAAGACCAGCCTGAGCAACACTGAGTTTAATAAGATCAGCGTGAAATACATATTGAGATCCTGTCTCAAAAAACAAAATAAAAGTTACAAATGATAAAACAAAATTTATAGGAGGCCATTGATTTGGGCTGAGATTCTGTGCTAGGGTCAACTTCCCTATGAAATGGGG